GGGATTACAGGCACGTGCCACCATGCCCAGCTAATTTTTTGTATTTTTAGTAGAGAGGGGGTTTCACCATGTTGACCAGGATGGTCTCGATCTCTTGACCTCGTGATCCACCCGCCTCGGCCTCCCAAAGTGCTGGGATTACAGGCTTGAGCCACTGCACCCGGCTAAGAATTATTTTTTAAAAATAAATTGTGGCCGGGCACAGTGGCTCACGCCTGTAATCCCAGTACTTTGGGAGGCCAAGGTGGGCAGATCACCTGAGGTCAGGAGATCAAGACCATCCTGGCCAACATGGTGAAACCCCATCTCTACTAAAAATACAGAAATTAGCTGAGCATGGTGGTATGTGCCTGTAATCCCAGCTACTCAGGAGGTAAAGGCAGGAGAGCTGCTTTTACCCAGGAGGCGGAGGTTTGCAGTGAGCCTAGATCATGCCATGGCACTCCTGCCTAGGTGACAGAGCAAGACTCTGTCACAAAAAAAAAAAAGTAAGTTGTGTCAGCCAGGCATGGTAGCTCATGCCTGTAATCCCAGCACTTTGGGAGGCCAGGGCGAGTGGATCACTTGAGGCCAGGAGTTAAAGACCAGTGTGGCTAACATGACAAAACCCTGTCTCTACTAAAAATACAAAAATTAGCCAGGTGTGGTGGTACATGGCTGTAATCCTAGCTTCTTAGGAGGCTGAGGCACTAGAATCACTTGGACCCAGGAAGTGGATATTGCAGTGAGCCAAAATCACACCAAGATACTCCAGCCTGGGCTGTCTCAAAAAAAAAAAAAAAAAAAAAAAACCAAACCGGGGGGTTTTAAAAAAAAAAAAAAAAAAAAAAAACAAGTAAGTTGTGTTTATCTGAAAACTGTTAGCCCTACAAAAAGTACAAGAATCTGTCACTAATTTTAGGGTAGCGGGGGGGAAGAAAAGTACAAGAAAATCATAATGAACTCCCAGGTATCTTTCAGCCAGTTAAATGTTTTTGGCCAGGCACAGTGACTCACACCTGTAATCCCAGCACCTTAGGAGGCTGAGGTGGGAAGATTGCTTGAGGTTAGGAGTTTGAGATCAGCTTGGCCAACATGGTGACACCCTGTCTTTACTAAAATACAAAAATTAGCTGGGCGTGGTAGTTTGTGCCTGTAATCCCAGCTACTAGGGAGGCTGAGGTAGGAGAATTGCTTGAACCCAGGAAGTGGTGGTCACAGTGAGCTGAGATTGCACCACTGCATTCCAGACTCTGCCTCAAAAAAAAAAAAAAAAGAGTTAAATGTTTTTAAATTTCCAGAGAAGCATGTAAACACCATTTACAAAAGCCCTTCATTATATAGCAGCACCCAGATCACCCCTTTACATCCATAATCTGAGGAGCAGGAAATTAGGACCCCCGTCTAGGTGGCTGAGAGCAAGGAGAGAGGGTACCTCCTCTGTGGCCTGCATTTGAGTGCTCCTTCTTCCCAGTAGCAAGAATTTCGACTGGGAGTGCGACTCTACTCAGAGGAACAGCCACAGGAAGCCGTGCCCCACCTAGAGGCGGCGCTGCAGGAGTACTTTGTGGCCTATGAGGAGTGCCAGGCCCTCTGCGAAGGGCCCTATGACTACGATGGCTACAACTACCTTGAGTACAATGCTGACCTCTTCCAGGCCATCGCAGGTGCGTGCAGTTCAGAGCCAGGCCTGCAGCCAGGCCTCCTGGGACTCTAAGGTCAACATCTGATAATATAAATGGAGAATCTTCAGCCTCATTCCTCAATTTATTAAATCTGAGAATCTGATGAAACATTGCTTTTATTTGAATTTGTGCTTCACCAAAATTTGAGTCCTAAAGAGTGCCCTCATAGTTATTCCCCCTCTTTGATTCCTTTCAGATCATTATATCCAGGTCCTCAGCTGTAAGCAGAACTGTGTCACCGAGCTTGCTTCCCACCCAAGTCGAGAGAAGCCCTTCGAAGACTTCCTCCCATCACATTATAATTATCTGCAATTTGCCTACTATAACAGTAAGGCCTACTTTCTTTCCTCTTTCTCTGCTGCCTAATGAGGAAGCTAAAGGCAAGGTGGGCAGGGATTACAGCCACTTCCTTCCTCAGTGTATTTGGCTTCTTTCAGTACCTATGGGAAGCACCATGCCAAGTGATCCCTGGGTAGTTTGTTATAAACCACTGGCCTAGGAAGCTAGTACCAGCAACCCAAAAAGCTGGGGGAGGGAGACTTAGGACCTTGTTCTCTTGTCCCTTCTAGAACATGTAATCTATTTTTGCTTTTGAATTAAAGTTAATGGCAAAAGTAAGGGGATGCCATTGTTTAAACCAGCTCAGAGGACATTCGCCAGCCTTTCTCCCTGGTATAGCACTGATGCTTTTGTGGGGCTGCCAATTAATACCCAGAAAACCAACAAATCAGCAGGTCTTTGCAGAGTTCCTACTATGTGCTAAGCATTGCAAACACAAAGATGAGTGTACAGTATTTACAGTTGAATGGAGGTGACTAACACATATCAACAAGAACTGTTCTGCCAAAGAGACAATCTGCTATTGTACTCTTCCCTGTCTTCTGAAAATCCATAGAAAAAAAGAAGGTAGGAAGACAGGGAAATTGAACTAATGATTGAGTGTATTGAGGTAAAATATTAAGGGATATTTGAATTATTTGTGACTCTTTAAAGATGTGGGCATGCAGAGAATTCTGATTCTTTTCTGTTTCATTGTCAGGCAGCCCTGAGGACAATGACCACCTCACCTTAAAATCAACTGCACATTCTATGTGTATTCCATAACTTCTGCCCCTGAAATCAGGCCGTCATGTTAAGTAGCAAGCACTACCTTGTCGTGTCACCACTGCCTCAAACTTTGCAGAAACTGAACACTAAGTGGTCCCTGGTACCAGGATTTGACCCTTTCCTCTCAGCTATTCTTCTTTCCACTTTGCAGTTGGGAATTATACACAGGCTGTCGAATGTGCCAAGACCTATCTTCTCTTCTTCCCCAATGATGAGGTGATGAACCAGAATTTGGCCTATTATGCAGCTATGCTTGGAGAAGAACATACTAGATTGATCAGCCCCCGTGAGGTGAGAGATTTCCTTCTGTGATGACAGCCACCAGTTGAACTCAGACCTCAGGGCGGAAGAAGGGGTTAGCAAAGGGGAGTCAGCGCTGTGTGTGCAGGGCAGGGGCCAGGTGTTGGTGTCGGGGCCAGGTATGAGTTCACTGCCTCGGCTTGTTATTCAGAGAAGAAGGGAGCACAGGGAGGGCGTGTGGGGAGTACACAGGAGCCTCAGTTAGCGTTACCTGGACCCAGGAGTCTGTTCTCTGAGTCCCGCGGAACCACACGGCGGACATAATCTTTACCCTCTTGGGACCCCTAGCTTGGACATTCGAGATTATTTGGCCAAGATCTATGATTTTTCACTTAATTCTGGTTTTCTTTTTCTGTTCACCCGTTTTCTGTCTCCATTTTCCTTCCCATCCCTTCTTCCTGCCATTGTTTGTTCTCTCTCATCTTTCAGCATTTTCCCCATCTCACTCCAAACTAGGAGAAATGTCTGTATAACACACAGACAGCTGCACTGAAGGAAAACACTCAGGCTCTTCCTTTCGAGCTCTGGAGTCTGAGAGCCTCCAGTAGAAACAGCCTCTTGCTGTCCCTCCCATGTGGGTTGTCTTTGTAGTGGTCCTCTTTGGCCACTAGATGGTGACCATCTGACTTTAAGATGGCACTTCCAGTCTCTTTTGTCTTACTTGGTTAATACCTTTTCTCCACCTTCTTTATGGCCATTACGGGGAGTCCGAGGGGAGTGAGGGGAAATAAACCAATGTGGCCAATCTAGCATTTTTAACTAGAACTCCCCTTTTGAAAAGAAGGTAACTAACATATTGAACCCCTGTCCAGGCAGAGCTCTCTGTGAGGCAGTCTGCATCCATCATCTCATTTAATCATCACAGCTGCCCTGCAAGGTGGGCGCTGTTCTTCCCACTTTAAGGATAAGGACTGTTAGCATCTGAGAGATGAAGTAACTTGTGCACTGGCCTGTGGACGCTGTGACCAGAATCTCTTCCCTGCTCTGCTCCAGTGCAGGCACAGCTCCAGACACATGGCTGACACTCAGTAAATTAGCATCAAATGAATAAAGAATGGAAGTGGGGTTTGCTTCACAGCAACCTTATAGGGTCATTGGAGAGTGTTAAATGAGATAACATAGCCCTTAGTGACAGAAGCCAGTAATGTAAACTCCTGAGAAGAAAATGTCTCTCTTCCTCTTAGGTAAATATAGTAGATGACATAGGATTCATTGACTGCTTTCATTCCTCCTTGAACTGCCTTGTGTTTTACTTCAACTGACGATGTCTTCTTTTTCTCTTCCTTCCTATTCCTGCTGCTTGGAGATTAGCAAAGCACCTAGGGAAAGATGTGGCCCCGGAAGGTACTCAGTTTCCCTGCCCTGGGTAAGCCTTGCCCAGGAGTCCACGTGGGAAGGCCAGAGTGCCAGGCCCTCCCAATGCAGCTGCTCATCCTCAGGGAGGGGTGTGGTCTGGTTAGGGTCTGAGAGGAGGCAGGTGGGACAGCAGAAAGCACATGGGCTTTAGGATCTAAAGAGCCAGGTTTATCTGTCCAAATGCACACTCTGCTATGAAGAAAAAGAAAGAAAAAGATAACAGAAGACCTGGGTTTGACTGTAGGTCCCTGCTTTCCTGTGTCCTGTAGTGTCACCTTAGACAGTGGCACATCTCCTCTGTGTCTCAGAGGCTTCCCCTGTAGAATGAGCATAACAGTATCAACCTCAGATGGTGCGATAAAGATCAAATGAATAACATGTCAGTTGCCTAATGCATGATGCCTTTTCCTGCTTTGTGGACGCCTGTAGAAGTCAAGAAGGAATTCTCCTTCTTTTAAGAATATTTCCTCTTCTGAGAATCATCAGATTTTCTGTCCCAGAGACTAATGGGGGTTGGGGTGGGAGAGGAACACGGCTTTTTCCCTTACAGGAAGCCTGGTTATTCCACCCTCAGAGGTACTGTTGCTTGTGTCAGGCAGAGGAACCCTTGGACACAAAAATTAGACTTTTGTCCCAAACTGGGGAACAGACCTAGAACGTTGGTAGGGAGAGGAGGCCTCAGGTCACATCAGGAGTGTCAGGGTGGGGTGCCAGGGAGGGGAGCTCCCAGAGGTTAAAAGACAGGGCTGAGTTCTAGGGTATTCCTTTGCCTTTGTATCCTCAGAGTGCCAAGGAGTACCGACAGCGAAGCCTACTGGAGAAGGAACTGCTTTTCTTCGCTTATGATGTTTTTGGAATTCCCTTTGTGGATCCGGTGAGCTAGAGTGCAGGAGCCGGGAGGGAGCGGGGGAGTGAGTGGGGGAGATGAATGGGGAGGAGGGGAACACAGTGTGATTCTGAGGGAAAACTTGTTGGAGGCTGAGCCTAGCCTGGGATCTGTGCAAGGCAGGGATGAGAGACAGATGAAAGGGGAACACCAGGCAGCTAGAAGGGACTTAGATGTGGAAACCTCTAAGGTTTTGTCTCCTGAAAGGAAGAAGGTGATAAGCTGGATTACTCCTGTGGGCCTTATTTTATGCATTGAGACACCTGGAAGATTAAGATCATCCTACCTTTCTCATTTCTTTCTGACCTACGTAGGATTCATGGACTCCAGAAGAGGTGATTCCCAAGAGGTTGCAAGAGAAACAGAAGTGAGGACCTTGAAGAAACTGCATGGTTGGATCAGTCTGATGAAGCACTTGAGGCTTCCTGAGCCCAGGCAGATGTGAACTCCTGGCAAGGGGTGGGCAGGTCCAGTTTGGGAAGCTGGGGTGGAGCCCAGGGCTGGCCCTGGAATGCAGTCCTCAGAGCGGCTATGCTCATAGGTCAGAACGGGAAACAGCCGTCCGCATCTCCCAGGAGATTGGGAACCTTATGAAGGAAATCGAGACCCTTGTGGAAGAGAAGACCAAGGAGTCATTGGATGTGAGCAGACTGACGCGGGAAGGTGAGAGGACAGAAACGGGGGCATGTGTGGCTATTGTCAGGGAACCAGGCAGGTCACCCACACTTACTTGCCAGGCAGCGCCCCACCGCAGCAGTGCAGAGCTCACCATGAGCCAGCCTCAGGGGCCAAGTTCAGTGGATATCCTTCCCAACTCACCTCCAAGACTTTCAGCTGGAAAGAGCACTGAGAATCATCCTTTGGTTCAGAAATCAGACTCCAGGATGTAGTGGTGCACACCTGTAATCCCAGCCACTTGACAGGCTGAGGTAGAAGGATCACTTGAGCCCGGGAATTTGAATCCAGCCTGGGCAATATAGCAAGACCTCATCTTTTTTTAAAAAAAAAGAAAGAAGACTCCTGTGTCACAGTAACACGAGTGGCTAGTGTCGTCCACTTCCATAGGTATTGACTCATTCCATCTTCCCACTCCCAAACTCTTTGCTCCCAGTTTTCACCACTCGTCCTGTTACTGAAACTCAACACCTTCAGACCTCCTTTGGCTTCTCTTCCTCTCGTGCCTGTCTCCTGCGGGCCGCTGGGAGGGCCTGTTGATTGTGGCTCTGCTTGGCTGTGCTTCTCAGCTCCCTCCCTAGCCTTTTCCTTTTTTCATTGCCTCAGGCCTGCTTCAGACTCTGGCACCTCCTGTCTACACCTCGTCTAGCCTGTCCTCGCTCCTGCCCACACATAGTAGCTAGGCCAGTCTTCCAGATGCCAGCCTCTAACCCATCCTCCCTGCCTGCCCCTTCACCGAATGTTCTACTCTTGTCCTGTTTACAACTTCTCTTCACATGGGACTGCACCTTGTTCCATGAGCTTGCCAGCTGCTCACCAGTCTGTGTTTATGTCTGGCTCTCCTAATATGCTTCCCACCATCCCTGCCAATGAGGGCATCTCAGATATACCCCCCAGAGCCTTTCTTAACTTCCCAGATGATTGGAGTCCCCTCCTTTCTTTTGAACTTCTTAGGGCATTTATGGTCTGTCTTGTGCTAGTTATTTGCATAGTTGTTAGAAAACAGGTACTGTCTTGTAGGATTCTTCTCTCACCCTGTCTGGGACAGTGCCTGGCACACACTGAGGCCTCAGTGAACGAGTGGAATTGAATTGAGTCTCTAGTATTAGTATGTCCCTAGCACAGAAGACACCATGAAAACTGTAAGAGAGAGATGCTGGCCTTTGCCCTATAGTTGCTTAAATTAACAGTGGTAAATTTGACAAGATTAGCATATGAAAAGAATTTGTCCAGCATTCCTTTGTTTTCAGACCACTTTCACTTTCTTATTTCTCTTGATTCTTACAACTGCCTGAGAGGTGGGTTATGCAGATTGCAAGATCCTTATTTTAAATGAATGATGATGACGATATGGTAGCCAAACTTGTGAGCATTTACCATGTGCCAAATATCATGCTAAACTTTTAATTTGCCTTCCTTTTTTTTTTTTGAGATGAAGTCTTGCTCTTGTTGCCCAGGCTGGAGTGCAGTGGCGTGATCTCGACTCACTGCAACCTCTGCCTTCTGGGTTCAAGTGATTCTCCTGCCTCAGCCTCCCAAGTAGTTGGGATTACAGGCATGCGTGACCACACCTGGCTAATTTTGTATTTTTAGTAGAGACAGGGTTTCTCCATGTTGGTCAAGCTGGTCTCAAACTCCTGACCTCAGGTGATCCGCTCACCTCGACCTCCCAAAGTGCTGGGATTACAGGCATGAGCCACCACTCCTTGCTCTTGTTCTTAACATTATACTGGCATCAGACATATAAGGTAGATGCTGTTTGACAGATAAGAACCTTTTAATTAATTATAGTTAGCCTCAGGGAGGTTTAAGTAACTTGCCAAGGTCAAACAGCTAATCAGTGGAGGATTTAGGAGTCAAAATCAGTTCTTCCTCATTCTGGAGCTCATGTTTTAGGATCGTGTTTCTGATGTTTCCTCAACAGCGTGTCATGGCCCAAGAGCCAGCAGCTATTTGGTCATGGAGCTGGCACTAGAGCTTGAACCTCATATTTTAGCTCTATGTTCTGTCCTCTGGACCATTCTGCCTTTGAAAATGACCTAGTGGGAGATTTTGTTGGTGAAAAGGAAACAGCTGGAATTTCTATTTGTGACAGGGTAGCAATATTCAATGGAGAGTCTTTGGTCAGAGCTGCTGCTAGATTTAGCTGGAGTCTTGTCATTGCTTTGCAGGTGGTCCCCTGCTGTATGAAGGTATCAGTCTCACCATGAACTCCAGACTCCTGAATGGTTCCCAGCGGGTGGTGTTGGATGGTGTCATCTCTGACCATGAGTGTCAGGAGCTGCAGAGACTGACTAACGTAAGGGAAGCCCAGTGACTGCACCTTCACCCAGGGTCCAGCATCGCCCTACCAGCTGCCCCTTAGGTGGTAGCCTTTGCCTTCTCTTACCACCTCTTCTCAAGCCCTCCCACATAGTCCTCCCTCTGCTCACTTCTGGGGCAGCTGCCCTGGCTAACATCACCTTATGTTTTGGGCCTTGTAGGTGGCAGCAACTTCAGGAGATGGCTACCGGGGTCAAACCTCCCCACATACTCCCAATGAAAAGTTCTATGGTGTCACTGTCTTCAAAGCCCTCAAGGTAAAATCAACACTAGACCTGTGGAAAAATGGGTGGGGAAGGGGGAAACGCAGGCTTTAAGGAATTGGAGCAGCTGGTGGCAGGTAAAGTGAAGAGGGTCCGCCTGCTGACGTTCCTGTGCCGGAGAACAAAGATGAGTTATGTTGAGTGAGGTTCACTTTTGAATCCTGGCTGTTAGACTGAATGTAATAAAAATGAAGTGAGCAGGACAAGACTGCTCGCCAAAGCTATGAGAATGCTTTCTGAAGAATGGCTGATACCAGAGGGCTGTGCTTCTGTGCAAGATGCACAGTGTGCTCATAAAGAGAGGTAGGAAGGGGAGGAGGAAGAGGAATACGGTGTGGGTGTTGGGCAGAGGCTACAGCTTCAGAGGGGGTGCAGGATGTGGGATGGGGCCTGGTCCTCAGTGTCTCTGGAGGCCCACAGAGGGACATTGTATTAGTCCGTTTTCATGCTGCTAATAAAGACATACCCAAGACTGGGCAATTTATAAAAGAAGAGGTTTAATTGGACTTACAGTTCCATGTGGCTAGGGAGGCCTCACAATCATGGCAGAAGGCAAGGAGGAGCAAGTCACATGTTACATGGATGGCAGCAGGCACAGAGAGAACTTCTTGAGGCAAACTCCCATTTTTTTTAAGCCATCA